TTGCCAAAACATTTGACCGTGCAGTTCCATAGCCCTCATCATCTAGCCCCATCAAGAACCGATGAATTTTTTCTTCTTCTCTTCGTTTCTCAAGTTGCGTCATAATATTACAATTGCATCCCCCACATCTACACCTGTGGGATTTGCTCGTAATTTGCCAGTTCATCCCACAACGTTTTCAACTTCCCATAATAGGAAACCATAGTCATTCCTTGTTGTTTGCATTCTCGCCAACTCGACTTTAGCTCGCTGGATTCTTGGTCCGTTCACGATCGAGAATCGTTCCTTGATGTCATCCCATAGGTCCTTTGCGTTTTCCATGTATGCAACGGTGGAACGCAAACTAGGTTCTATAGTGTTTAGTATCCAAGATACAAGCATCGATTGAATTGTCCACCAATCTTCTATCTCGGATGTGTCTTCTTCGAGTTCCTTATGAGTTCCATCTATGAAACCCCATTTCCTTCGAGCCCGCAGAGATATCTTCACGGCCCTTGCCCATTCCTCGTAATTCTCTCCTCGTAATTGTACCTGTGTAATTACATTTCCAGGATTATCACTGGCACTCAGATCGTATGGCGATGGTGTTTTCTTCACCGCCTCTCCTTTCTCTGCCATTTTAGAAGTACGATTGTGTTCTCGGGCTGTTGGATATCAGAGTTTGGTTCGCTCTGATACCATGATAAAAATATTTCCGAAAACCCCTGCCTTGTATTGAATATGATAACACAATATATACATGAAATACAGAAACATTCTAGGCTATAATTACGCTAACCATTATAGTCGGTATCCTAAATTTGTCTATTAACAGATATGAAATTAATGTGCATCGCTGTCATGCCAAGCTAAATATGGAAAAAAATAATCATGTAGAATCATGGCATGATACGGTATTTGTAATCGTATATTCTATGTATATTCTATGTTTATCAATAAAAAAATCCAATAAGAGAAAAGAAAATGACAACAATTTTAGTTGTTTGAATTGAAAAATAAAATAGAAAAGTAATAGCTTCCCTATTTCAAGAAAATATACTTTTTCATTTATTGTGTTTAAAAAAATCACTTTTTTATATTATTACTTTTTTTCTTTACACATTTGTATATAAACAGTTAAGATGATAATTTTTTTAATCCAATCCTACAAAAGCTTCTAAAAATAGAAAAGAAAAATAAATAAAAAAGTCATTTTTAATTAAAATGAAAATAATAATAATATATTTTAAATCAAACAGGTCCTATTATATTTGGTTTAAAATTTTAATTGATTAATAGTCAAAGATTAAGTTATATGGTTAAGTTTTTTTTTTCTTAACATAACACCAAGAGCCAGGCTATAAAATGTGTATTGTTATAATATTGTGTAGTCTCTTGGAAACATTTTGTTTTGAGCTTGAATATTGTAAACAATAAATTTTCAAGTTCTACTTCAGGTCTTCAGAGTTAAATTATTTATTATACAACTAGTCTTAGCAATTTATGTGGAGGCTAACAAATAGTTTTGTGCAAGTGTGTCACAATTTATATTATATTTATGATTTTAATTTAAAATTTAATGATTATTATATATTTATTATATTATTTATTTATTTATATTTATTATATTTTATTATTTATTATTATCTATTTATTATTATATTTATTTTTTAATAATATATTATTTTATCTTTCACAAATAATTGTCATCATTCATTATATATTAACTTGTATTTGCTCCTTGATTATGAATACAAGTAATTTTATCTCTTTGAAAATATAATACAAAGATGGGTTTGTGGTAAAAAGAAGAGCAAGAGCCTCTCTATTTTAAGAAAAAAATATATGTTTTTTGGTTTTCATTTATTCTGTTTATTATTAATTAAGGGTCAATTTTTTGTCAAACATTTGTATATAAACAGTTAAAATAATAAATTTAGTTTTTAATAATTTATAATTAAAGCTTTTAAAAATAGAAAATAAATAAAAATTTATAATTGATAATGAAAACAAAAAAAATTTAAAAAATTCTAAAAATTGTTATATATACTGATTTCTTCTTATTCATGAGAAAAGGGAGAGATAAAATAAATAAATATTTGTTTTAATTAGGTATTACTTCTTCATAAGATCTATGCACATTCAGTGGACAAAAAACCAAAAGTATACTTTCAGAACAATGTTGTGAATCGAAAACTGCATGGCTATGCACATCTGTTATTGGTTTGATTAACATTTTTAGTCAAATAATAGCCACATATTATAAGTCATTAGTTAAAAATAAAAACAATATAAAAATATATTTTAAAATTCATAAAATAATTCAAATAAACAAAAGGTTTTTTTTATATATATTTAAAATACTATTTTGTATTTTTCATTAAACAAAATGCCCCAAATCAAAAGAGAAACTCTGATGAGATATCTTGAATCTGACATATGTCTTACGACGAGTAATACGAATGTTCTAATTATGGATGTATTGAATATTTTTTAGTAAAAATTCTCCTAATTTATGTTTTATCATATTCTCTGTTGTATAAATAGGTAAATATTTTTTTCATTATGGATAACAATTCTATGATAATCATAGTTTTTTTAATCTAATTAGTAAATTTAAAAAAAAATTAATGTCAAACTTAAATTTTGAAGCACTCTATTTCCATAACATGATAAAGTAAAAATGAACAATGAAGAAAAAAAAAACTAATAATCAAAATATTATTGAGTTTCGATCAGAAATCAATATACGATTACATATTTTGATAGAATATTTAATATATTTTTTGATAAAATTGGTGGTTTGGATAAAAAAATCTAGAAAGTAATTAAAATTCTAAAAATTGATGAAGATATCTTAATTATTTAAAATAAAAAAAATTAAAATAATCTAAAAAGTATGAATTTGAGTTTTTTAATTATTTTTTTATTTTTTAAAGTTGTCTTTTATATATATTTATATATATATAATTTTATTTTTCTGTTTGATTCAATCTTTATATAGATATTTTTTATTTATTTTGACCTATTTTAACATGAACTGACCCACCTCGACATGTCTAGGTTAGGCTGACTCGTCTTGACTTGGTTCAGACCAACCCAATATGTTCTAACCATCATCAAGCTATCCTACTTCGACTTCTCTCGATTTAGTCCATCCTGTACTGATCTATATTGACTCAATCAAACCCACCCTGATCTGACCTGACCTAATATAATTCAATTATTCTTAATCATGTTCAATCCAACTAAGTAACATAGGCTTGTACCACCCTAATCCAGCCTATCTCAGGTTGACTAATTTTGGTTTGATAGATTCATCTTATTCTGACCCCTATCCTGATACATCTTATCTTGCTATAATCAATCTATCTAATCTTGGTTTATCCTTTCCATTTAAATTCGAGTTGACTCATCTCAACCCAATTTGACTTAACATGTTCTGAATTCATCCTAACCCATCCCAACACAATCCAACATGACTCGCTCATCCCAGCCAATCAGACTAACTTGACTTGACCAAACCTTCTCAACCTAGTATAATTTGTCTTGATCAGGTCATGATATCACTTGACTCGATGTAGTATGTCATATTTCATTTTGGTTCAATCTTACCCTAATAGATAAAGGTTACATACTTTGACTATAAGATGGACTTAATGCATAATATAGTAATGATAATTTTTCTATTTGATAATTGAAATTTCAATAAATTTAAATTATTTTATAAAAAAATTATTTTAAATAAAAAATAAATTTAATAAATTTAAATGTTTTAAAAATTATAAAACATTTTATCGGCTTTTTTACCATATGGGGTAAAAAAATTGATTTTATCAAAGGGGGTCAAAATTTTAAAATTTTCTCAAAATGAGTTAAATCGTACTGGATAAGACAATTTTGAGGATAAAATTATGTTTGAAAGCATACTTTTGACTAAAATCATGCTTTCAAGAACATTTTTTTTAACACACTTGATAAGACGAGTTTCTCACTTATTTTTTTGACAAAAAAGGATTTTTTATTTTATTTTTTTAAATATATTATTTATTAAATAATTATTTTCAATTGAATTATTAATTTAATAAAAAATAAAAATATTTAGACAAACATGTATAAATTTAATTCACTATATTTATCGATTCAATTTGCAATCGATTTGTATTTATTGATCCGTTTTACAACTTACAAAACATTCATATGGTTTTGAATTTCAATTTTATCCCCATTCGAAATAAAGATTATTGGTCTATTTATACATGTTCAAAATTTGTCTTCATCCTAATATGTGTCAAGATACATCTAGAAGATCTACAACTAATTATATTCGAAATGAATAGATGTACAAGTTAAAAATAAACAAAAAAATGTTTGATAAAATGAAAAACATAATGGTGGAAATAGTTTATTTCAACCCCTTCCTTAAAATAAAAGTTTTTTTAATCCCTTTAATAATAAAAAAAATCTATTTTATCGCATGACATATATCGCGCTTAAATGACCTTTGTCACAAAGGTAGATAGTGTATTCTTAGGTCTGGTTTGTATAAGTACCAAATTTAGTGAATGAAAAGAAAAAGAATAAGTGAAAAAAAAGGCAAAAATAAAATGAAAAATTATGGTGTTTGGTTAAAAGAAAATATAAAAGAAATAAAATAAAGATAAATTAAAATAAATTGGAAAAAAATTAGGTTTTATTTTATAAATTAACATAATTGAGAATAACTACACAAAGTCAACTTATTTGGTAAGTTAAGGAGTCTCTTATTCGAAAAATAAATGGTGTTTGGTGATTAATCACAATTTTGACCAAATAATGTTTAAAGAAGGAAATTATGATCTGATGAAGAATAAAGAGGAGAGATGATGTGACTCTGCAACTCACAAAATCTCAGCGGTGTATGTGCAGGCTTTTTCAGATAGAAAGCATACAGAAAAGAGAAGTAGCGTGCAACACGGAAGGACAGTATCCACAATTTATATGCATATCAATGAGAATCCTGGTATCTCTATACTCAGATTTCATTCATGCTGAATATTCTCCACTTTGGGCTTTGCAGCAATAACGGTTTTTCTTTCCCTTCCACATCCACATTTATATGTGCAGCCATTCCTTGCATTTCCATATTTCTCCCCATAAAGAGGCTTTTTCACCTTTGGGTAAAAAAAAGTTGGATTTTACCGAAGAGGGTCTAAAATTTTTTCAAAAATGAATTGTATTAAGTGATACGATTTTGGGTGATAAAATCGTATTTGGAAATACACTTTCAATGTTATTATTATTATTTTTTAATGTGCTTGATAGTATAAGTTCACTAGCACAAATTTCTCACAATTTGTAAACAAAAAGGATTTTTTTAATTTTTTAAAATATATTATTTATTAAATAATTATTTTAAATTAAATTATTAATTTAATAAAAAACAAAAATATTTAGATAAGCATGATTAAATTTAATTCACTATATTTATATTAAAATATTATATTATTTTAAAAAAAATACAAATTTATTATTGAAATAGACCGTTTGCACGATTATATCATTTATTTTTATAAAAAAATATTTATTTATTTATTTTTAACTTATACATCTATTTCATTTGATAAAAGACACATCAGTAATATCTATAACTAATCGGATTCAAAATAAAATTGATGTATAAATTAAAAATAATTTAGACAATATATTTATATATTTTTTAAAATAATGTAATATTTTAATATCAATATAATGAACAAAATTTAACATGTTTCTCTAATTTTTTTTATTAAATTAATAATTTCATTAAAAATAATTATTTTATAAATAATATATTAAAAAATCATTTTTTTCCAAAAAAAAAAGCAAAAATTGTGCTAGAAATCATGTTAAAAAAAAAATCAAAATTATGCACGATTTTAATTAAAAGTGTGCTTCCACTATTTTTTTTTCACTCTCACAATCGTTTTATCTAGCATGATTTAACCTATTTTGAAAATATTTAAAATTTCGACCCCTTAAATAAAATTGAGATTTTTTTCGACCCATAATTAAAAAAACTCCATAAAGAGCTTCATGGTTTCTTTTCCTACAAAATCAGTTATGAATATCCAAAGAAATTCATACATCAAAGGGTAAAACTAGGGCTGGAAAGTGCAATTTTTAATTTGACTGTTACAAGTGTTTTTAAGGATTCTTTATTAAAAATATAGAACATTTATTTTTAGGTAAAATTCTCTATATGTACCCACACACCAAATTCATTAATTGTCTTTTATCCATGCATTTTTATCCAAACAGCTTCACACTAGTAAGCCAGCGGCTCCATATGTATCACATAGAAACCCTGATATTTTTAATGCAAATGACATTCATAAAACATTAATAGATTACAGTACTTATCTGCATAATGGTCTTGAACTTCATCGCAAAAGCATCCATATATTTAATGGACATCAATTCAAGTTTAAATAATTCACTGTTCATTCCCAAATTTTTAAAACATTTCAGTGACATATTAATGAAGGAGAGCAGAGATATTTATGAGTGGAAATGGAAATTGTAACGTGGATGCGCAGTGATCCTTGACTCCTTCTCTCCTCTGTCCATAATAGTAAAAACCACACTCTCATTGGCCATATATATGCTCATAACATCAACTGAAAGTGCTTGTAGGTTCTAAATAACTACCTAAAAGTTGCATTAAGAGAAGCTATAGCATCAGTTGTTTCACACACCTTGATACCTTTATCACTAATATGTACTTTAGAATACATACAAGTTATAAAACCCTTCTCTTTCTCCATTCTCCCACCCTAGCTACCTTCTCAAAACTTGTTTCAGTGATTACTGGCACAGTCTGATACTGCTGCTTCTGTTCTGCTTTGGATTCAGCCTGTGAGAGATAGTATTGATCCCTAGGCATCTAACGGTTTAAACCACATCTTCTCAAAAGGGACCAGAACAACAATCAGTAGTAGTAGTAGTTGATGGCGATCGTTTAGTCTCAATCACATCAACACCCCTCTCATATTTACTCCTTTTCAATCTCCACTTTTCTTTTTCTTGATCTTGACAAACCTCATTTTCTGTGCCACTTTCACCCTTCAAACTTTCCCATTCCCCACTCAAAAATATTTCTCCGGTACTACCATCGAATTGGAAACTCCAAAATCCTCCTAAATGGACGACGGCTTATGTGATATTTTCCACGACAAAGAATTTGGGAGCGACCACTTTGGTGGGGACGACCTCTTCGCCATTTTGGAGAGCCTGGAATCGGACTTCACCGATTTCCCTCCCATTAACGAAGAAGCTGTTGCTATCTCCAAAGACAACGAGGATGTCTCAAGATTGGTGTCCCAAAAGTCTACCTCGTCAAGTGCTCCACAAGATTATTCCGAAACTGAGCTTGAAACTTTACCAAAAACCAAGAGACAAAAGCTTACTCCTACCACGCCAGAGGAAGCAAACCCAGATGGACAACAAAGGATGTCTCACATCACCGTTGAACGCAACAGGAGAAAGCAAATGAATGAACACTTGTCCGTTTTGAGGTCGCTTATGCCTTGCTTTTATGTCAAAAGGGTACGTCTTAGTTTCATTTATATTGAATTTGTTTTATCTCTTAAGCGCTTAGGTTTTATCTTGAAATATTTTTCTACAAAAACTTAGATGCAGTTTTTTCAAGTGTTTCTCCTATTGTTGTTTAATTAGAATTAAGAGTTTTTCTCACTAATATGCATAATAAATATTTATTTAAAGGTTAAAACAGATTTCCATAAGAAAACTTTAATTGTTAATCTGAGAGCAACATTGAAGTACTTAATGAGTTTCATGTGAGCTTTTTTTGGCACATTGGTACACAGAGTTGTACTTGAGTTGTTTATATTACCTGTTTAAAGTTGTTTCTATCCTGAAAAAATATAACTTTTTTAACTGTATATTACACTGGTTCCATATTAATTACACTGTAGAGTGTTCTTTACAGATTAAATTAAGTTCACCATGCATTTCTGAATCCCCTTAGAAATACGTGCTTATAGTGAAGCTATCACTGTTCTTTTCACAAGTTTGTTCTCTTGAATTAGTTTATCTTTAATTAAATTATTATTTCTAAGTATCAATTTATTAAATTCTTCTTAATGATTTATGTTTAGGGAGATCAAGCATCGATAATTGGAGGGGTGGTTGACTACATCAACGAGTTGCAGCAGGTGCTCCAAGCCCTGGAGGCCAAGAAGCAAAGAAAAGTTTACAGCGAAGTCTTAAGCCCTAGGCTTGTTTCAAGCCCAAGGCCCTCACCACTGAGTCCTCGGAAACCACCTCTGAGCCCGAGACTAAACTTGCCCATTAGCCCAAGAACTCCACAACCAGGAAGCCCTTACAGGCCAAGGTTGCAGCAAGGCTACAACAACATGATTTCACCAACCATGTCCAACTCTCTCGACCCTTCTCCCACTTCTTCCGCCAATTCCTCTATCAACGACAACATCAACGAGCTTGTTGCTAACTCCAAATCCGCCACTGCTGATGTGGAGGTCAAGTTTTCAGGGCCCCACGTTCTTCTCAAAACGGTGTCTCAACGAATTCCCGGACAGGCTCTGAAGATAATCACAGCACTTGAAGATCTTGCGCTCGAAATCCTCCATGTCAACATTAACTGTGCTGCTGATGATACCATGCTAAACTCATTCACTATCAAGGTACATTTCTAATTTGAACACATAAATTAATGGCTTATTATCTTCTTCTTTCTTGGACTGTATAACGGTGCACAGTTCATAACTAACATCCCATCCCATGATTTAGTCCTAAAATTTGTATGTTAAAGACGTAAAAGACTGACAATGATCAATTTCAACAGTACCTTATCACATGCATAACTGCAGGAGGAAATGCTATTTTTATCAAAGTAAAGTATACATGTAAACTATATATAGTTGTTCATAAATGCTGGATAAAAGGTTCGTTTTTTTTTCTTCTGTCTGACTTGGTTACCTACCCTTATATTACTTTAAGATTAAAGTTTAGAGGAATAATATTTAAAAAAAATGTAAATGTTATATGAAATAAAATAAAAAAATAAATTATTTGACCGTTGTAACTTAAAAGTTCATTTGAATTGAAAAACTCTATTTTTTTAGTATTGTTCTATTTGATTATTTATTCACAATTGAAGAGAGAAAAATAGGCTAATATTTTTTTTAGAGTTGAATATTAATTTTCTTAGCTTTTAAAATTTTACTTCTCCAAAATATATTTTACCTAATTTATCCTTTAAAGATAATAGTCAAATACCACCTTGAAATTATTGAAATATTTTTTACATTTGTTAGGTTGAGATAAGAAACTCATGGAAAAGATGTTCTTTATCGGATTTTCTTTTATTTGTTTATGGTCTTATATGTACAATTTATTTATATATTAAACGAGATTTTTTTTCTTCTCTTATAACCATGTATATAAAGTGTGAGGATAAAGTGTAAAGACAAGAAACATAAAAGAAAAAAAAAAAGGAAAAAACATTTTTAACTGCTTACAATTTTTTGTTTATGTCTTAATTGTCATATTGAAGTGTAAAGTCACGCCTCAATAATGAAAAAAAAAAAAAGTGTCCATTTTCATCTTTCTTACAACAGTGAATGTGTAAAACTGGCTTTTGTGAAAAGTGTTTGGATTCTTAATTCTTACCATCCCCACCTGAAGAAAATTTCACAGTAGCAGTCTCCAAAGTTTACAAACCAACACAATATCAATGATGATAATTAATTATTGAATTAAAAAGCATGCTCTCTTGCAATTCTAGTAAAAGAAATAGATGGTTCCGTGTACTGGAATTAATATATACCACTTACTGTTTATTTTTCACTGCATATCATTTTGTCCCCATTGGATAGCTGAAAGACAAATATATATAAATTTTGTGTCATTTTGATTTAAATAAAATTGGATAATATTTATGCATGAAATATATATATATAGTAGCATATGATTGGATATAGATGTGTACGTGAGTTATGAATTTATTAGGTTCACTAATAAATATTGTGGTTTCTTTAACAACACTCATGTCTACGCATATATATTTATATAGATTGGAATTGAATGTCAACTGAGTGCGGAAGAATTGGCTCAACAAATCCAGCAAACATTCTGCTAATTACTATAAAGATGGGTTGTGCCTGACCAGAGAGTCTACACCAAACATCACCATGCATGCATCTCTCTCTCTCTCTCCACTCACTGTGTTGTACGTACGTGCTGTACAAATAACACAGAACGTGATGGGGAAAGCCATTTAATTGCAACCATTTTACAATTTTCTTTCTTTTTTGTTTATTATTATTACCAGCAATTATTGGTAGTGTAATTCGATCAAAGTGACTATTCTCTTGTAATTCATCACCGTCCAGCTTTCATTTGTGTATGACATGCAATTGCTGCAAATTTTATTTGGTTAAATTTTATTTGTGTATGACGTTCAAAAAACTTATTATTTTGAACGAGCTGGAAAATATATATGTAAGACCTTATCTCTACACCAGTGGAGGGGAATAGAATGAATAAATGAAGAAGACGAATAAAAAAGTAAAAAGTAATTTAGAAATTAAATATGTTTGATTGTAGAATAATATATATGAAAATTGATAAAATAAGTAAATTAATCGCACTTTATTTAAAATTATTTTTAATATTCCAAACAAACCACTTTATATATCTCTTTCTTTATTTATCTTTTCTATATATATATATATATATATATATATATATATATATATATATAATATGTTCTAGTACAATTATGAAGTAATTTATGTATACATTCTTTCTTAATCTATCAATTAGAAATAAAATTGTGATAGATTAGAGTTTTAAAACAGACAATATCTATCTAAGACATGATAATTAATTTCAATGATGTTATCATAACAGGTATAATAAGGAGACATTTCAATGATGTTATTAAAAAATATTACAAGAACTAGGTATCGTTTTGGACTCACATTTTGTTTCATAAATCTTAAAATTAATATGTGAGTTACTCTAAATCAATTCATTACATTCCAATCAAAATGTTTTAGATTTTGGATTAAATGAATGTCTAAATAAAAAGAATTAAACATAATAAAAATTAATCAGATTAAAGAAAATAATGAATTTAGTTGAGAGAAATTAAGGTTCACTTGCTTTTTGCTTCCTTCTGTTAAGATTCATGGCAATGTCATTGATTTGTTGTGGGTGATGGAGACAATTGATGGGAATCATGAGGTTTTTAGAACAAGTTTTTCATTACTAAGGGACCTCTCTCCCCCGTTCAGTTTTTAGAGGGTCCAGACCAAGATATATAAAGTCTGTCGAACTAGGAGGCCCATTCCGTGGGCCTGACATATTGTTGAATTTAAGCCCATATCCATGATCTCACTAACGGTTTTGGGCTTTAAACATCCAATTATTTATGGTCGCCTCTCTCGTTCATTGTCGGAAGCAATCATTTTGTTTGACCAAAACAATATCCACAAAACTTTTTTTTATGTGAAAATCTATTAACATTACATACAACTTGAATACTACAAATTGCACCTGAACACAATTGTATTTATGTAAAATTATTTAATATTTTTCTTCAGTGTATATTCTTCAAAATGAGTTTAAATTTCATTGTCAATAATGAGAGAACTTCAATGATCAATAATTTGGAGTATATTTGTAATATTTTTTGAACCGTGAATTCTATCCAACATTGGTGAACCTTCGAGGTCAAATTCATCTAATTTTTCACTACATAAAAAGAAGGTGAGAAGTGAAAAATTAAAGAATGATTGTTGAAAGTAATATTTGAATTTTCACTCCTATTTTCAAGATAGATTTAAAAAAAACAACCATAAAGTGAAAAATCTCAGATTAAAAATGTTTATTTATCCCATACTTTAATTTGTAAGGAAATATTAACGTCAGAAATTTAGTTTGAAAAACCATTCAACGTGTTAATAGTATCAACAAAAGAGATTCAGCAACCTTGTTTATAGAAAAGTATTTCAAATCTCCCTTGTGGATAATGGGGAATAAATGTCACATAGACCCACTTATTTATTTGTGGCCCTAGTTTTTCCTTTCTTATTTTTAATCCAGGTTACGACTTCAATGGGTAAAGCATTATTGTCCAACTAAAATCACAGTTAACGAATCTTGCTCGTTTTTTTTTATTTTGTCTGCGTCAAATTTCCACGGTCCAAGATAAAATACCTTAACCCGCTTTGTTCTTCCAGAAACCGGATTGTTTATTTTATTTATTTGATAGAGAATTGGAAACAAATACAATGGCTAATATCTTTTTCCCCTTTCCTCTGACTCGAGAAAATGACCATTTTCGTCATCCAGTTTGTACCCAATATGTACCTATGTGGGAAAAGTTAAATTCTTAAAGCCAAAAAATGAGAAAAGGGGGTATCTGATAACTTGACATGTCTCCAATGATAAACGAAAATTCTTATTGACTAAGCAATTTTAGAATTGCACATTCCTAAGACACAACTAGCTAAGACATAGACAAATGTTTTTGCCTTTTCTGAAGGGTCATGTAATTCTAGAATGTTTACCTTACAACACCTGCTGATGTCTTCGACTTTTTCATATGTTTCTAATTCTATTGGTTTAAAAAAAAAAAAAAAAGGTTTTGTCCTATATTCAATTTCTCTTGATTGAGTATACTCGAGAAAAATCATGGGTTATCGAATCTTAGGTTCTGGCCATCGAATTCAAACTGGTTGAAAGGAAACTGTAAACCAACGGCTGCTGAGTTTGTAGTTGAAGTAGCAGCTGGGATCATGTCATTGATCTGGGACTCAAAAGTTGCCAAATTTGGGTTCCCTCCAAATCTGTTCACCCCACTTGGAGACACCGAAAAGTGGCTTATTCCCGATGTAGCAGGGGACATATAAGGAGAACCGAAGTTTTCAAGCACATGGGAAGGGAAAACTTGACCTTCATTTTCTATGTTCGTTGACAAAGGGAAACGGAATGGAGCAAATGATTGGTCAGGGGAATCTAGGCTTTCTGTTTGGACTCTCAATCCTTCTCGGAGATTCAAAAGTAACTCATTTGGTTGCTGCTCAAGGCTTTGCAAGATATTCTGCTGCTGAGTATTTGTGTTGTTCAAACTTGGTTCTTGGTTTTCTAGGGGATTTGATGAAGAAGAACCCATGTTGTTGGCCACCGTGCATGTGTGCTTTCCTCGGTAATTGATTTCAAAAATTGTAGGATCTTCATCAGATCTTTGCACTTGCTTTGTTGCCATGCAACCTTGAACATTTCTGTGAGTACATCGGTAATAGCCCCTGCAAACGACCAAAGTTATAGAAATCTAGTTCAATGCAATAGACTTAGAATATAGATAGACATGATAGTAGTTTTTTAAGAAAAAAAATAGACATAATAGTATTTTATGAGGGTTAAATATGTTGTTACCTGGGGTACATGGCTCCAAGGATGTCTTTCTGACCATATTTTCTCCAACTATATCCATCGTCAAGAGGGCCTTCCACCCCCATTCCTGGTGTAACCCGAATCTGTTTTGTCCATCTTGGCAAAGTGTTTCTGTGAGGAAAAGAGTTCATGACGTTAGAGTAGAAGTTACATGCAAGGTTTTACAAAAAGGTTAATGACCAGATTTCAGACACAACTTGAAAGCTTTTGAGGAGCTAGGTAGCGTATTACAATCACAAATATTGTAATTGCATTAATAATATTTGTCGGGAAATTTCAAGAATATAAAAAAAATGCAAACACAAGACCATTTGGTATTGACATGAAAGCAAGTCGGTGCATAGATGAATGCATTAGTTTAGATATACCTTCTTTTGAAAGCACTGTGGTCGTGGTCTTTCATATCTCTCTCGGAGTCTTCACTTTGGGGACTACTGCTGATAGGTGAGTCTGACATTCGGATTGCAGCTGCTAGGGGCAGTTGTGATGACTCGCCCACAGGAACTGGTCCTTTCCAATTTACCATTTCAAGTGCCTTTTCAAACGTGGATATGATCTTCTGGATGAGGAGGTCACGGGTTTCTTGGGACGAAGAAGGCATGTGGAGGTACACTTGGAGCTGCCTTGCAAACTCCAAACCTTGTAGTAGCTCTTGTACGATGCTGTTTGGGTCTCCCATGTTGTCCATGTAGGCACAAAAGCACTAAAGCCTTGTTACTGGACGAACCCCGTGATTGGTTCTGAGAAGAAAATTTTGATGTCAGAGGTAAAGTGGCACATGCCAAAGATAGCCTAGGACATGAAGCAAGGAGACAAAGCCAAAAAGATGGGTAAACTAAAGCATGGGATTGGGCGGATTGGGTGGTGGCAGAAGAACCAAAACCAAAACCAAAAAGGAAAAGTTCAGACGCCTAGAGAGGAGAATAAGAGAAAAAGGGGTTAGGGAGGATGAGAGTTATATGGGATCTTTAAGGGGGGTTGTCATTCTGAATAAAAAGCATTAAGTGTGGGAAAGCGCAGAAAATAGAAAGGAAAGGAAAGTTTGACTGAGAAAAGTGGTGGAGTGGATTTTCTTAACTCGGACTAGTCTTTGGTCATAGGAATCACCAGTTCAAAGGGTGAGGATGAGAGGTCCAATTGCTGACCCATTCTCTTCCACGGACCCTTCTTTAATCTTCCGCATTGACCCTCTTCTCTTCTCTTCAATACTATATCATTACTCACAAACGCAACACAAATCATCAATATCTTACTTCCTTCCCCAGCAGTAAAAAACAAGGGGCTAAAAAGAGATAATATTTTTTTTTTAATAGAAGGATGTAAAGAAGAAAGTCAGAGCGACGGGAAGGTTAAAGTTGGAAAAGAAAGGGACTATGAATCTTCAAACCTTGTTCCGCGTCGTTGCCATTGTGCCTTCCAACATTGTTAGGAGCGTTTGTGACAAGGTTGGGTGACGTTGCCCATTCACCTTGCTTCCGTCACTAAATTTGAAGTTCAAATTATGGCCAGATTTGTCAGGTGTATCTCACTAACACATATTATATCATTCCAGAGCTGTGTTTTCCCAGACCTGTTCCCAGATGGGGTACACTTAATTAACTGGATTCAATTTTAGTTAAAATTATTAAAGTATTTCAGTTTGACTTGTGTATTATTTAACACACAGCCATCCACCTAGATCTGGTATGATTTGCATGGTGAATTAAAAGAAATTGATGGTTTTTTACATCATAATTTTTATTTAGTCTATTCTTATAAATAGGCTCTAATTACTTTTTTTTAATTATTAATATATTTTAATTAAAAAATGTTTAAATAAATAAATATATATTTTAAAATTTTAAATTATATTAATAAATTTAATTTAATTTTAAATATAATTATTTAATATATAAATTATAAAAAAATATATTTATTTATTTTTAAAATAAGAATTAAAAAAATTTGTTCTTTATTATTATAATTTATTTTTTAACAATTTATTGATTTAAAATAATGGTTTGTCATAATAGATTTCATCTTATATTTATTATTAGAATAATTGAAATTTTTATTAAATTATTTTATATTATATATATATATATATATATATTTAATAAAATAATATTATTTTTTATTTAATTTAAAATATAATTATTATTTTATAAAATTAATCAACCCATAAATATATAGATTAATATGATGAAAATATATATAAATCAAAATAAATTTAATTTAATTTAAGTTCTTTTATATTTCTCACCATTTTATCTAATCTTTCATATGAACTTATTGAATTAAATATATTTTAAAATATTTTTTAATTCTTTTGGCTCTCTCTATAACTATTCAGTTCCATCTAATCAAATTAATTTGATACGAATTTATGTGACAATTTAATTTTGACATGACCCTACTCCTCAAATGTACAAATTATTGCCGTGAACTGTGGGAGTATCAAAGTCTTACACTTTGTCTGGGTCATTTTTATGTTATTTTTCGTTTCTCATGCATGTTTTTCAATTTGAATTGTGATCGCATCTTTATATCATCCGTTAATGGTAAAATTATAAATGTGTTTCTGATGAAAATTTGACTGATTTCGATTTATGGGGAGTTGAGTCTTAATCAAATTTTGATCATGTAGATTCTTTTTATTTAGGTTAGCAACTAGTTTTCAATCGAAAAGTGCATGAGAATCGAGAATATCGGGAATGCAAACAACACTATTTAAAGTGCAAATCGCATGTACTATTTTTGGTATTTTTTATTAGGTAACGCGAAGTAAAGAAAATAATAAAATTGTTGGATCGAAAAGTGGTGCAAAATATTAAATTGTAGAGAAACATAAATGCGAAAACCTCAAAATTTGCGTAAAGTGTAAATGATAAGGAATCGAAAATTGAAGAACTGTAAATAAGCAGAAAATCGAACTTTGCAGAAAAGTAGATATCAGGAAATCGAAATTGCAAGAAAGAGAATAACAGGAAATCGAAATTGCAAGAAAGAGAATAACAGGAAATCGAAATTGCATAAGTGTAAATAGCGAGGAACTTAAATGCAGAATCTCAACTTTGCATAAAAGTAAAATAATATAGAATTAAACGTGCAGAAACTTAAAGTTGCTTAAACGTAAACTGCATCAAAATAAATTGCATGAACATGAATTACCAGGGAAAGTACAAAAAACGGTAAAGACAATCAATGAAAATGGAAATCCAGATCGCCAGAAACTTCATGATTTCGTCGTTCTCCGGTAGACTTTTCACTAACGCTTCTGTTGTCTCTGCCAATTCCCCCTTCTTCTCCTTCATTTTTGCTCTATTTATAGAGCATCCTTCAAGTAATCTCTTAGGAGCAGTTAACGAAAACTGCTACCACGTCCTGCGTGCACGTCTTTTGCAGTTTTACTTCTAGCTCCACGGTTAAAAAACTGCATTCACGTTCTCATGCATGAGGTAACTGCTCCCTTGACCTTCGACTTCTGCCACCGCTTACCATGTTCTATGTGCACGTCAACTGTTCCTCTCTTTATAACTTAACCAAAATTCCGATAGTCATGTAGGTTAGTCTTTCCCTCGATTTCGATTCCAAATCTCGAGAATTTTGAATTGCTTCTGTTTTCACTTTGTTTCTTAACATTACTTTTGACTCTAATTTCTCGATTTTCTTCAACAAATAGACATTAAATATTCCTCCTTCGATTTTTGGTTCTAATTCTCGATTTATGTGTCCATACTGTTACATGGTCATCGAATGTTTTCCAACTATCTTTTCACTTCATCAGTTTTTAACCAATCATATGATCTTCAATTTTTCTTTCCTTCGTTTTTCGATTCTTTTAACAATTTCCTACTAACAAAATGCCCCCTTGGAAGAATGTAGATATTTGTATTTATATTCTTTCAACATGATTCCCGCCTTCACATGTTTGGAGGCCCACAATAACTTAGGGTTTAGGGTTTCTGGGATTTTTAAGGGTTTATAGGGTTTTAGGGCTTTTTCTACTTTATGTCACTCATCACGTCAGTTCTGCTGTCATACTGCACACGCCACATTAATTACCCTTCGCCTCCATCGCTTCCAATACCCCAGTTAGTTTCCTTTAAACGCTTGTTAACCTTTTTACCCTTGTTTTTTTTTTCACTACGAACTTCATTCACTCCTCCTTTGCACCTTCGTCTTCTACCTTTCGTCCTCATCTGCTCTACCGACTACTGAAATGACAACCTCATCCAAATCTTCTGACTTCTCCGCCCCACCACTTCCCTCGGTGACCGCTAACCTGCTGGAGATTAATAGCCAGAAATTTGCTCTAGTTCCTTTGATGGAGGAAGCTTCTCAGAAGATCACTGAGACGTAGGTACTCATCCCCTACATTGCTGATAATATTAATTATGCTTTTGGAGGTCCTATCCGCTATTGTGGCGGATCTTTTTCTTCCCTCAATCTTTCTTCAAAGAGCAAGACTCCTATTCATCAATCTGAAGTTCGAATCAACTTTCTGAACATTGTATCTAAAGTATACCGAACAGGCCCCCCCTACCAGAAACTCTTGTATATTAGGTGGTTCGATCGAGTGAAAACCAAGTTTGGGAACCATTGGAGAGATGTGGGGATCTTCGATTTCCTGCATCTGTCTCGATGTGATTTATCTCATTTAGATATGACTATGTTCTTATCAGCTGTCCATCTTTGGAATAAAGACTTGCATGCTTTGAAACTACCTTGTGGTCCCCTTTCACCCACCCTCTTTGAAATTGCTGCTATTACCGGACTGAAACCCATAGGGGAAAAATATTTTAAGGGTGCTTTTCCTTCGGATACTTCTTTAAGGTCCAAGATCGATTGGGAATCGAAGGCGTATGGACATTTTATCGAAAAACATTTCGTCGATGACCAATCGATAGCTGTAACTGATGAGGAGCATATAGCTTTCCTGGTGTATTGACTATGTACTCATGTTTTCTGCCCCCGATCCATCCAAATTTCATCCCACCTTTACAACCTTGCCTATCTCCTTCACACTGGCCAGCCTAAAATTTGTTTAGCCAAACTTTTGTTAGCCCATGTCTATACTGCTTTTGATGGAGCCGTCGAGATTTTGAATACCCCCAGGGCCTCGGGAAATTTTTCAGGTCCCATTTGGTTTATCCAATTATGGCTGAACTCGATTTTTGAAAGTATACTCCCCCCAACCTCCACAATCCCCCCAAGTTTAAATTTAGAGGGTGCTCGATTATCTTCTCGACATCCCCGCCATAAATCCGACGAGACCACCTATCGTAATTATCTCAGATTTTTGTTAACTCGATTTCGATTTGAGTCGCATTTGGCCCCTTTTTCTGTGCATCTTGGAAAAATAAGTGACCAACTTCGAGGACCAACATGGTTTAAATCGAAATTTCCTGCTCTTACTCCGGGGCTGCAGTCAGAGTTGGTCGAAGTATGGAGCAATTATTTGACTCAAGACGTGTTGGTATCGGGTTTCCAATCAAAGGACCTTCAGCTTGTTACTTATTATCCTCAGCTTTTCTCGAGGCAGTTTTGTTTGAGTCAAGCCTTACCCTTTTTCCCCCTTGATACCTCCTCGAGGTCCAAATTAAGTGAATCAACTGTTGGACGGGAGCTCGCCAAATTGCTGTCGAAAGACCCGATACATTTTTACCCTTATATTTTTGAGTCCAATTATTTATCTACTCTCGTTTTCTCATATTGGTGAGCCGATTGGTTTTCGAATAATCATGTTGATTTTGATATAGTTCAATAGAAATTGACTGCCCATCCTTCTCTCGTATTGCAGGACAAATCGAAGGCGAAGAAAGGTACACACTCCCATTATCTCCAAATATCTCGATTCGAGAATTTTTATCGAGTATGTTACAACCCCTTAAAATTAGAATCGACCTTCTATGATGTTGTTATTTCCTTAGCCAATAAAATAGACACTAATCGATCAAACCACAAAATAATCAATCCTCGAGGAAAAACCCCATTTGAAATGTATTGTCCCGATCACCTTCCCACTTTTCCTACAGCTCCTTTTGGACTTGCCAAACCTTTTACTCATCCTAAATGGGTTCGAGAGTTAAGGTCTTTGAAAGAGACCCTCCATCCAAAACCCAAAAATAAGAAAATCTCGATATCGAAACTGTCCTATTTCCCTTACCTAAACCTTCCTCAAATTCTTCTTCCTCCCTGGCTTGTCCATATCGACCGAGTCAAGATTTTGACTCCATCACCTTTTGGTGAGATTTTGCTACTTCTTCTAGGAATATTTTGGTTATCTTTATATTGCAAGTT